AATGACAGATAATCTCTTCTCCTTATCACAACAATACACGCAAAACAAGACACACTAATCACCCATCTACAGAAAAAGACAAAAGCCTATCTCACAGCCATAAATACTGTACTCCCAAGCCAACTACACCAGAGCACAGAGTGCTGTCCTCTGAAGATGCCGGCCACAGAGACTGGCGAAACGTTAGGAAGAACAACCTTCAGAACATGGCCAAAGAGCCAAAAAACCCCACAAAAACTTGTTTGTTATTTAATTTGCTATTATTTTACAAAGTCCAGTTAGTGAGAAAGTAAGAAGGAACTCTGTACAAGTTCAGGCACTCTTCTTTAACATCCCTCCTTAGGTTACTGACCCAGTTTCTGTTCCAATGTCTGAAATCCACCCCATATTTTAAACTGAAGATCTTGAGGGAGACAGAAATCAACCAATGAGAAAGAAAAGGAAGTTGGAGCTAAGACTTGCTGCAATCAAACATTTTTGAGTTGGTCCTTTTTAAAAGGAGAGAGTATCATGAGTTCAGCTGAAGAAGATCTAGAATCTGAGGGGTTAATTACAGCTGAGGAAAATGCTGGGCAATTAGAATCACAGACAGCTGAATCACCACCAGATTTTCCTCCCCCAGTAGCTAAAGTGAGGGATAAGCTTTGGCAAAGACTAATGACACAAAGGTCTGAGCCTCGCATGGAACATCAGGTCGACCAGTCCTGAGTTTTAGCAGGATGCAGTGTTTTCCAGGGATTAGATGACTGCTGCTGGTATAAAATCTGCACCCAGAAGGCTTGGAAGCACTCCTGCTTATCTTGGACCTTGCTTTCTTGACCCTTGACTTTGGGCTCTGGCTTCTGACTATGGTTTGTGGCTTTGGCAATTTTGCATCTATTTGTATCTTCTGGACTTCTGATCTTGGGCCTGATTCTGGACTGCTCTGTTCTAGTCTGCTTGTTGCTACAGAAGCATGCCTTAACCTGCCAACACTTTATTCCTGGAACCAGTCTTTTTGAGAGTACAGTATGTATGCAGCAGTACGGTGTTCCGTGTCTAGTCGCGTTGACCACGTGACTATGGAAACTGTCTACAGACAAAACACTGGCTCTACGGCTTGGAAACGGGGATGAGCACTGCCATAATGCAAACAGCCGGGGGGGGGGTGAAATAGAACATTATGCACCCTTATACTGTACAGCCATTTGTGTAACAAGCTGATTTTTCATGGTTAAAAAGTCTAAATATCCAATTCTATGTATGTCTATTCAGCAGTGTTTACTCCTAGCTAGGTGGGTGTGTCTTCTTTTAATTGCCTTTCTCCTTGGGATGCAAGTTTGTTTGAAACAATTGGACTTGTCTACATAATGTGAACAAGTTGTCTGGATGTGGCTCAATATGGTCACTAGGAGGTCCTGTATGCCATTTGGTAAGACCTTTGCATCCAAATGGCATCCAGAGCTCAAGCAATCCTATTTGGTCTGCAGCCTTTGCCAATGTCATGAGGTGCCTTACAGCCAATCATTTTGTTGGCTCTGTGGAGGAACTGAAGAAATTGGGGGGAGGAATTTTAAGGTGTGTATTAGAGCAGTGAATATTCATTGTGCCACTTTTAAAAAATAAAAGACAAATGGAAAGTTTCCTCCTCCTTTTGCCTGCTTTTCTCTTAAAGATCCAGTTGAGAAGTTGCCCACAGCCAAATTGAGGAGACTCTTTACCTGACCTGTAGGAGAAAAGCAAACAAAAGCTTCCAAGAGGAAGTATTCTATTTGTCTTTTATTTTTTAAAAAGTGGTGCAGTAAGTATTTATTGCCCTAAAGTACACTTTTTTTTTTAAAAAAAAAAAGGAATTTCCTCTATTCCTTCATGAAGCTGAAGAAGTGATTAATTTGCCGATATCCTGAAGAAGCTCTCTTTATCAAGGCCCTTCACAATATTGTCAAATTGGAGAAAGGCTCCCTGTTAGTCCATTTTGTGCAATCACATGCACTGGAAATGGACCAAAACAAGTGATCCTACTTGCATTAAAAAAGGTGAAGCCCCTGATAGGGGTTCAGAAAGGTACAGTTACAGCTGATCTGATTGCTGCCTTTCGGAGTGAACTAGCTCACCCCTGCAGTGGGCCAAACAGTGGGCTAAATGCCTATGTAGTCAGCTTCAAAATCATTTCTAGTGATAGATCTTGCTTTGACCCTTACTGTAAATTGCCTGGCTCTGTATTCCTCATGGGCTTTCACTGTTCCTTTGCTGTGACTACTGATGTTTGATTGTTCTTGGATTAGAGCAGTATGGCAATGCAAGCAATTACTTCAGGAGGTGATGAGCTCTCCAGGACTGGAGGCGTTAAAGAGAAAGCTAGGCAGCCATCTATCAGATAGTCTTTAGCCTGGATTCCTGCATTGAGCAAAGGTTTAGACGCAGTGGCTTTATAGGCCCTTCCAGCTCTAGGATTTTATGATTTCACTTTGAGATCTCTCAAACCTGTTTCATCAATTTGGTGGGAATCTATTCCTTATCCTGCTTTGTTTTTGGGCCTGATTCTGGACTGCTCTGTTCCAGTCTGCTTGTTGCTACAGAAGCATGCCTCAACCTGTCAACACTTTACTCCTGGAACCAGTCTTTTTGAGAGTAAGTATGCAGCAGTACGGCGTTCCGTATCTAGTCGCACCGACCACGTGACTATGGAAACTGTCTACAGACAAAACGCTGGCTCTACGGCTTGGAAACGGGGATGAGCACTGCCCCCTAGAGTTGGACACGACTGGACTAAGTGTCAAGGGGAACCTTTACCTTTACCTTATGCAGCAGTACAATGGTAACTTGCTGGTGCAGTCATTTGAAACTTGGAATAATCACCTAAGCACTTTTCCCTCTCTACTTTTTATCATGCAGAGGCACACATGTTCTATGGTGTAAGTTGAGGGTATTATTACATTATGATTTATTCCTCATTTTGTCTCACATAACAGACAGCAAAGTTTGATTTGTTTTCCAGCAATTACATAATGTACAGCTAATCTGGAACTGACCCAGCCCCTTTTCATGGCTGTTCAGACCTCTTCTGTTCACTGGCAAGGCCTACTGTCTTTGTGGAGCAAATGGGCCTGCATCCTTTTCTTTCCATTTCTGGCATTTGTGATCACCTGTATAATTCCAAAGCAGCAATGGAAGGTGCATCAGTGTGTCCTCTAGGGCAGTGGTCCCCAACCTTGGGCCTCCAGATGTTCTTGGACTACAACTCCCAGAAGCTTTCACCACCACTTCTGCTGGCCAGGATTTTTGGGAGTTGAAGTCCAAGAACATCTGGAGGCCCAAGGTTGAGGACCACTGCTCTAGGGAAACATGGACAGTGACATCTTCAGCACAGCTGGAACACCTCTCATCTTCCACTGTCTCTGCTCTGAACTAATTTTATTTGCTTGTTTATTTATTTGTATATTTGTTTTTAGCCAACCTTTCTCCATAAAAGGAGAGACATGAATAAAGATAGCTAAAACCAGTAAATTATTGGCATATTAAAAAGAATTAAATAAGCATTGTACTAAAATGTTAAATAAAAGCATTTATTTATTTATTTATTTATTTATTTATTTATTTATTTATTTATTTATTTATTTATTTATTT